TCACAATTCTAAAAAGTTTTATCAGAGACGAACTTTGCAATCTATATAAAATTTTAATTTGCCACATAGATCATATGGTGCAAGAAGCCTAGAACCGACATCATATGACTTTCGTGGCCAAAATTCCAGAGTGTTACAAATCATATGATTGATTAATTATCCAATTAAATTTCACAATTCGGTTACATAGAATTAGGATATGATTGGTAAAATATAGATTTAGTGCCGAGTTAGCTTTTTTTAGATATTGCAGGGATAAAATCGTAATTTAGTTAGATCTACATAATTGCGGGTGCAATATAGAAGTTTATTCAAGACAATGGAATTTTAAAGTCAATTGTGATGGATAAGTGATGTAATAATGATGAAAGCAAATGAATAAATAACGATAAGGTTCGATCTGTAAAATTGAACCCATACTTTATTTTCTTGAAATCATTTTCAAGTGTTGGAATAAGAAGCAAAATACCATAATAAAGTGAGTGCAAGATATAGCACGAACTCTGCGGACTTGGGTCTCACAATATATAGATCTGGAAGCCCAGTATTCATAAGGCTATAAAGTAGACCTGTCATATATATCTATAAATCCCTGATATTCATAAAGTCATAAAGTAGACCAGCTTATTTTTTTTTTCTAAGAAAAAAAACCCCCTGATAAATCCTTAAAAAAAAAACACCAAAGACATTATAACAAAATTGTATAAAGAAATTGCGGCTTTAATTTTTATTGGATTTAACCCATATTAATCATGCTCCCTCCAAATAAAAGAAAACGCCATCTTGAGGCTGCGAGAAAATCAAAAGTTGAGCATGTGCGTTTAAAAAAAAATAAGACAATGCATCAATCTAATAATTTATTAGATTATGAATCAGTTAATGAAGAACTTGATGATCATATTTGGGTAGATGAAGAAATCGATGAAAAAGCCGATAGTTACTTTGAAGTTTTACTAGCAGCTGCTAGGAATAATAATTCTTGGAAAGTTGCAGGTAGATCTACTTATAATTATGATAATTCTGGAAGAACATTAAGATAAAAAAAAGCTGAACTAAAAAAAGTAGCACAAAACACAAAATCTATTACTTTCTACTTATCTTTAACCAATTCTTTAAGGTTTAATGTTGCTTCGACATCTACTTATAAATTTTTAGCTGCAGATGTAGCAGTGCAATTAATGGAGACAAATTTGGTTGATGAGGCTGTTGATTGATGAGGATAGAGATACAATAATGGTTGATAATGCTGTAGATTCAATAGTTGAATCAGCAGAAATAAATGTGAACAATGATAAAGCCTGTATAAAATGAGCAATTGAGGAATTAGACAATATGTTAGAGAAAGACAGTAAACAAATTGATAAAGGAACTAAGGTTCGTTTACAAGCTGCATTGCAATATTTGCATTTGAGATATCAAGGTTGGACCAAAATAAATTCAAGTGCGACAATTGCTAGGTCATTAGGCTAGGAAGCTTACAAAACAAGGTGTATTCATACATGGGGTAATGAGTGGTTGAGATGGCAAAAATTACCAAAAGAGAATCGTGGCAAGTATGTGAAAATAGCAAGCCTTATTGATGATGAAAGAATATCAATAAAGATAAAAAAAAATAAATAAATAAATTCTCTTATTTTTAAATATAATTCCCAATTATTAGTAGCTTACCAAAGATTCTATTTTAAATAGATAATGTCATATTTACGATACAATAAGTTTAGTGTGAACCCCAAGGTTCTAAAAGAATTTGTAGAAAACAAAGTTTTTCCATCTTTAGGCATTGAAAAAAAAACAACTATAAGTGAAAAAACCGCATTAGAATGGCTTAAAAAGTTAGGGTGGAGTTATAAGGAATAGAAAAAGGATGTATATGTAGATGGGCATGAATGGGAGGATATAGTACAGTACCGACAAGAAGTTTTTTTTACCCATGATGGCTGAATTAGAACCTCTCTTTATTGAATATGATGAGAATGATTTAACATTAGTTAAAAAAAATATTTCTCTTAATCAAAAACCGTATTGTATAATAACACATGATGAGACAACATTAGCCACTAATGATGATAAAAAAACTGGATAGGGCCTGGAGATTTGTGTTTTTCTGGTTAATTTATTTAGTAAACTTATTTTTAATTATTTATTTATATTTTTTCAAATAGGTAAACAAAAATTACATCTAAAGGGACGAGACAGTGTATTCACGTTAGTGAATTTTTATATGAACCTTTGGGACGTGTTCATTTAACTGTAGAGCAACATTTAGCCTACTCAGAAATTCCAAATAGATACGTTACAGAGACACTTGAAGTTGGTATAAACCACGATAGTTATTGGAATGTTCAGTTGCTTGCTAAACAACTTAAGCAAACAATTGATGTTTTGGAAATTGCACTCCCAGGTACAATTTTTGTATTTGCATTTGATAATAGTTCGAGTCATGGTGCTTTTGCGGAAGATGCATTAGTAGCAAGCAGAATGAATTTAAAATATGGTGTCAAACAACCACGAATGCGTCCTGGTCGATTACCTGATGGTATATCTCAAGAAATGATTTTTCCACTTGATTATAAAAATGTGAAAAAAAGAGGAAAACCGAAGGGAATAAAATGAGTAATGAAAGAAAGGAATATTTGAGATCAACAATTAAGGAGTAAATGTATTAAGTGCTCAGAAAATGAAGAAAAGATCTGTTGTAACATGAGGAAGTTAGCAAGACAGCCAGATTTTATGGAACAAAAAAATATTCTTGAAGATATTGTGTATAGTCGAGATCATAAAATTATTTTTTACCCTAAATTCCATCCGGAATTAAACTATATTGAGTATTTTTGGGGTGCAATAAAAAAATATGCAAGAAGTTATTGCAATTACATGTTTCAAGAGTTGCAAAATATTGTACCAGAAGCTCTTGCTTCTGTAGACGTTATAACAATCCGTAAGTTTGCAAGAAGAGCATAGCGATATATGGATGCTTACAGAAAAAGATTGTTACTTGCTGCCGCTGAATTTGCTATAAAAAATATAAGTCATATCGACGGATTTCTGAAAAGATTGTCACTTAATTGTTATTACAAGTCAGTAAAATTGCTCTTAAGTACTTTAAATATTATTTATAATTGAATTTTTTTATTTTTGAAATATAGGTTTTTTCGCAATATTTTAATTCACAAAATTCAATTAAAGAAGATTATTTTAATTCATCGAAAATTAAATAATCTAACAAGTAAGTTTTTCAATATGCGGTAGTTTAGATCCTTTTTTTTTTTAAAGTTACACTATTACTAAAATCTGCATTTCTAGCATATTATGTGGTGTCCTATGCATGACGATGCAATTAGGGTTTAAAAAAAATGTAGAGAAAAAAGAAAAAAAAATAAAAAAAATAAAAAAAAAGAAAAAAAATAAATACATTTTGCTAGCAAATAATTCAGGCAATCAATAGTTAAAAATTTATAAATTTGAAGTGTTTAATGGGGTTAACAGGATATGGTTTGTCAAGTTTAAATAGGTGCGCAAATAAAAACTACACTTTAGGTGAACACAATCCTAAAAAATGCAATAAATTGATAAATAAATCCAATTTAATATTGTTCATATTTTGCTATTTCATTTTATGATCATAGATTGCATTTACAATTGACAGATATTATAGTGCTTACAATTACTCAATAATTAAACGATATCGTGATTACTAGTTTGGAGGCTACTTAAAATATCCTTTAGAAACTTT